CTCTCAGAAGGAAGTAGCCGGATAGAGTCATGGCCCTCTTCCTTTTTACCTCTAGGGGCTGGATTAAAGGGCAATAAAGCTCATTAAAGGGCACATTCCCCTTGCTCTCCCATCCCCACCCCATTTCCTCCCTATTGTTGAGACTCTCAACAAAAGGCAGGAACCAAGCTCAACAGCCCCCAGACTCCTGCACACAAAGCAGCTTGCGAATAGCTAAGAGGAAAATTCCCAGCAGCTTCTATAAGCCCCTTCTCCCTACTTCCCGCCAACCGCAAGCCCCCTACCTCCCACTGGCAGTGACAGGTTTCCTCTTCAGTCAAATAAAAATCCAGTCCCACACGCACCCTGTGTGTGGTGTCTTCACAAAGAACAGACTGTTGGCCGGCACCGCGGCTGACTAGGCTAATCCTCCGCCTAGTGGCGCCGGCACACCGGGTTCTAGTCCCTGTTGGGGCGCCGGATTCTATCCCGGTTGCCCCTCTTCCAGGCCAGCTCTCTGCTGTGGCCAGGGAGTGCAGTGGAGGATGGCCCAGGTGCTTGGGCCCTGCACCCCATGGGAGACCAGGAAAAGCACCTGGCTCCTGGCTCTTGCCATTGGATCAGCGCGGTGCGCCGGCCGCAGCGCGCCAGCCGCGGCGGCCATTGGAGGGTGAACCAACAGCAAAGGAAGACCTTTCTCTCTGTCTCTCTCTCTCACTGTCCACTCTGCCTGTCAAAAAATAAAATAAAATAAAATAAAAAATAAAAATTAAAAAAAGAACAGACTGTTGCCCCTCCGTGCTTCAGTAAATCAACCAGTCTCTGTCGACGTTGGCGTCGACGTTGGCTCTGTCTCATCTCTGGGTGTACGAAAGGCCAGACCAGAGCGATTCCAAACCTAACAGAGTCTACCACTGTGCTCTCAAGGTTACTGTGCCAGGCTCCACGCAGAGCCAGGCCCCCCTGCCCAGAGCCCCTGGGGAGCTTTATGTGCCAGCCCAGGCAGCCAGGGCCGAGAGGGCCCGGGAGCCCAGTGACAGGGGGACTCGTGGGGAGCCAACGGCATTTTATATTTCACATCGGTGTCTTGCACAGGGAACACCATGCAAAGGGGCAGGCACAGGGCACTCCAAATCTGCTATGCACAGGACCGGCAGGAAGACTATTAAGTTGCTGTGAGTAGGGGTGGGCGTTGAAGCACAGTGGGTTAAGCCCCTGCTTGGGATGCCCACGTCCCATAGCCCAGTGCCTGGGTTCAAGTCCCCACTGTAGCAGGATTCATGTACCAAGACAGGACACCAAGGCCTCTTAACAGGAAGTAGTCTTTTATTATGCTGGCATAAGACCCAGGTGGCATTTCTTATCCAAAATCCTGAGCCCCCAACAAGGAAGGATTTTCCTTATATATGATTTTAGCCTCTGTCTCCCTTATATGGTTACATGAATATACTCTATTGTGACACGGTGGCCACAGGACTGATACAACACTGCACATGCAGGGTTAACAAGATATGAACTTTTTACACACATACTAAGCCATCTGCTGTCTGCCAAGGGTTAACACTGCTCTGTACTAACAAGCAGAACTTGAAATGGTTCTATATAAGCAGATAGTAACTACGGCTGAAGTACTCATAGGCAAGCAGACAAAAACTACATGTTATTCCCAGGACAAATGCCTCCCTTTTTCTTTTTCTGACCTTGGGAAGGCTTCTACTACAGATTTAATCATGTTAGTTAGAAACAAATCTGGGCTCACTTGGTTAATCCTCCGCCTATGGCACTGCCATCCCCTATGGGCGCCAGATTCTAGTCCCTGTTGCTCCTCTTCCAGTCCAGCTCTCTGCTGTAGCCCGGGAAGGCAGTGGAGGATGGCCCAAGTGCTTGGGCCCTGCACCTGCATGTGAGACCAGGAGGAGGCACCTGGCTTCTGGCTTTGGATCAGCACAGTGCACAGGCCGTAGCGGCCATTTGGGGGATGAACCAACGGAGGGAAGACCTTTGTCTCTCTCACTGTCTAATTCTGCCTAATTAAAAAGAAAGAAAGAAACAAGTCTAACTAAAAGACAGGAAGACAGGGACCTCTGCCACATCACTACTCTGTTTCCAATACAGCTTCCAGCTATGCTGGGAGACAGCAGGTGTTCATCCAAGTACTTGGGCTGCTGCATCCTTTGGAGACCCAGAAGAAACTCCTGGCTCCAGTCTGCCCCAGCCCTAGAGGCTCCACTTCCTATCCAGCTCCCTGCTAATGTGTCTGGAAAATCAGTAGATGGCCCAACTGCTTGGACCCCTGCACCCTGTGGGAGACCTGGAAGAACTTCTGGCTCCTGGTCTCCTCCTGGCCCAGCCCTGGCCATCGTGGCCATTTGAGGAGTGAATAGCAGACAGATGATATCTCTGTGTAACTCTTTCAACTAAATACAACAAATCTTTAAACAACCAAAAAGGGGCTGCCACTGTGGCATAGCAGATAAAGCTACAACCTGTAGTGTTGCCATCCCATATGGGTGCCAGTTCAAATCCTAGCTGTTTCACTTCTGATCCAGCTCTCTGCTATGGCCTGGGAAAGCAGCAGAAGATGGCCAAGAACTTAGGCCCCTGGACCCGTGTGGGAGAGCCGACAGAAGCTCCTGGCTCCCGGCTTCGGATCGGCGCAGCTCTGGCCGTTGTGGCCATTTGGGGAGTGAACCAGTGGGTGGAAGACCTCTCTCTCTCTGCCTCCCGAATAGATAAATACATCTTAAAACAAAATAAAAAACACCCTAAGAGCCTGACCTGAATTTTGAGACACCGGGAGCCAGGCCTTATTTTCTTGCCATTTGCAAAGGGAGGGAGGAAGCGCGCCTCGGAAACGGGGCTGCTGTTTGCTCTCACACTCGGCTGGACCGGCTTCTCTGCCGGCTCTGCCCCCCTGGGGAGCACGGCCCTGCCCAAACAAGGACATAAGCCTCAGCCGTTCTCCATTGCCCTGAACACAGAGAAACACTGCGATGTATTCCTTGCCCTTGAATCTCAACAGGGCCTCACACCCTATTGCCTCTACACCCCCACGCTTTCCCAGGTTCACAAGGCCACCTGAACGGCCAGTTCCAGGAAACCACCTCCGCCTGCTGCCTCCCACCCCCACCCCCAGCCCAGTCCCTCCTAAACTAGAAAACGACCGGACACTGGGGTGGGGGCCTTCTGCCACGTGTTCCAACAATTTGTGTGCCAGCAGTCTGTCACCCACCTCTACAAATTCATTTGCTCTGAAAAAATTCGGTCTGGCTGTAGATTTATAGACTGCCTCCTCGCTAGTCTGCGCTTTTCCTAACAGGCCCCATCTGTCCAGCGCAGATGTGCAGGACAGGGCGGCCACGAAGGGAATTTCCAGGGCCACACGAGGCCTTTCTGAGAGCCATGACCCCGAGAGGGCGGAAGAGACCGGAGGCCCGGACTCTGCATCCGAACAGGCAGCAGGGTCAGAGACGGAGACTTCAGGAGTCCAGGACGGGGCGGCGGTGCGCATGCTCCGGGGAAAACGTTCCGGCCATCGGCCGCCAGCCTGAGGGGGCCGCACACGTGTTTGCCAGAGACGGCTTTCCTGTCCAGGGCGGGGCGACCACGGCTCTGACGGCCTGAGCCCTGGACCGTCCGTGACCCTTCGCCACGTCCGGGGTCCTCCACAGGGTCCCTGGGCAGCAGCAGCCAGGCGCGGACAGCTGGCGGCAGACCCTCAGCAGCGGCCGCCGTGACCCTGCCCCAGCTGACCCGGAAGTGCTCCCGGAACCCGTCCAGGACGTGGCCAGGCCTGTGGCCTCCAGGGCCCGTGATTCACTCCACTTCGTCCTTGCTTGCAAGGCCTCTTCCCTCAGTCTGGCAGCCCCAGAGCACGCGCAGAGGCCTCCCGGGGCCCTCGGGCGTCGGAGACAGGGTCAGCACACCCGCGGAGCCCGTGGGCAGCTGAGCGAGCGTGAAAACCTCAGCCCACGCAGGCTCACGACACACAGGCCGACAGCAGCTCTGAGCTGAACGCCGGGTTCCGGGTGCGGATGCTGGCACAGACACTCCCAGTCTGGCCCAAGCCAACCTCCGACACCCGGGAGTCCTGGAGCTCCCCGCAGGCCTCCCAGAGCTTCGCTTGGCGACGCTGGGGTGCGGGCGCTCTGCGCAGGCGCCGCCGCCCACGTGACCCTGTGCCCGCCCACTTCCTGCCGCGCGGAAGGTTCCAGAGCCCGGGGCGCCCGCGCGGGCTGGGCTGGGGGAGCGGGGACTGCGGAGCCCGGCCGGAGCCGCGAGAGGGGCTCTGCGGGGTCCCGTGGGCGTCCAGGCGTCCCCGGCGGGCTGCTCCGTCCTCTGCTGGGACGTTTGGACGGAGAAAGAGCCGGCCGCGGGCTAGGCCTTGAGAGGGGCGGTGCCTCTCCTGGGCTCCTCCTAGAGTTCCCGGAGCCGCGCTTCTCCGTGTGAGACACCCGCTCACGGGTAACATGTGTGTGTGCAGTGTGTGCGTGTGTTCTATGTAACATGTGTGTAGTGTGTGCGTGTTTCTATGTAACATCTGTGTATGTAGTATTGTGTTTCTATGTAACGTGTATGTAGTATGTGTGTGTGTAACGTGTGTGTAGTATGTGCGTGTGTTTCTATGTAACATCTGTGTATGTAGTATGTATGTTTCTATGTAACGTGTGTGTATGTATAACTACATATAACATCTGTGTGTTTAATGTATAATCTAAAGTTAATGTTTACAAAATTGGTTATATCTATTATAAATATCCATTTATATAATATCTAAATGTTAGGTATGTAATAATATGTAGTTACATAATATGTACCATCCATTGTTTTATATACTTAATGTTTCTACAATGTATAATTATAGGTATAAATACATATTCATATCTGTTCTAATCCATAGCAAAGTGTCCATTTCTATAATATCCAAATTCCTATTTTTATGTATCTGTGTATATTTATGTATTATTGGTATATTTATATAATGTATGAATACAAATATATTTTATATTCATAGAATAGCATTTATTAGCTTATTATTCATTTATTTAAAATACTTATTTTACTTTTTTGAAAGGCAGAGTTACAGAGATAGGGAGAGAGAGCAAGCGAGCAAGCTTCCATCTGCTTGTGCACTCCCCAAATGTCCAGGGCTGGGGCAGGCCAAAGCCAGGAGCCAGAGCTTCATACGGACCTCCCACGTGGGTGCCGAAGCACTTGGGGTATCTTCGTTGCTTTCCCAGGTTAATTAGTAGGAAGTGGGATCAAAGTAGAGCAGCCAGGCATCAGACTGGAGCCCATATGGGATGCTGGCGGTGCAGGCAGCTGGTTTACCTGTTAGGCCACAATGCCTACCTGTGAGTATTAATTTATATAAAATTATTGAGGAGCAAAGTAAGATTTTGATGCAAAAACTTTTTTAATACATGGAAAATACATACATTAAAAAACATGCATAGATTTCAGAAACCATTTGTACCAAAGTAAACTCGGGCTGTTAATTCCAGTTTTCAGTTAACTTTCTGGATTCCCTGGTACGTGTGTGAGGGGGGGGTGTCCCCTGGATCGGGCTCCCAGGTCTAGATTCCGCAGCCTGCGTCCCCGTGGCCCAGAGCCCTGAGCAGGTCCAGGTCTGACTCCGGGCAGCGCCCTCGCCGCTGAGCTCCTGTTTTGCCTCCCAGAGTCCAGGGCGCTCAGGACCGCAGCCCCTCACTCCCTGGGGGTCCTAGCCCAGGTGTGAGATCTGGTGCTGGAAGAGCCCTGGAGAAGGGGCGAGGTCCAGCCGGGGACGCCATGAAAGAAAGCCCGGACAGCACCACAGATTCTCCTGGGGGAGGGGTGGGCTGCGACTCCCCGCTTGGCCCTCACATTCTAAGTGAACTCCAGGGACCTGGGCCCCAGCTGACTGGGCTGTGAGGTCCCCGCGCTCCAGCTCCAAGACGCCCTTCCCGCGTCCCAGCTCTCCAGGTGCCAGGCCTTCCAGGACCCCACGTTCCACCCTCCCATGCAGCCTCCCGCCACACGCAGCCAGCACACGAGGCCCAGCCTGCCGCCTGCCAGGCCCCGCACTCCCTGGCTGAGCCCGCATCCTGCCCTGGGCAGTCAGCATCCCCACTTCCTCCACACCCAGCCAGGGCTCCCATTTCAGCCCAGGTCCCAGCCCTGGGAGCCTAATGTCCCAACGCCAGAGGTCAGCACTGGGGGCTCCGATCTGCCCAGGGTGTGGGAACCCAAACCGCACAGTCTCCTCCCTCTAGGCTCCCAGCAGGCAGCCTCCTCGACTCCAGCGGCCTTGCTCCCAGTCACAGACGCTCACCCAGCATTCTAGAACTCCAGCCCCAGACACTCAGAAGCCCCCAGCAAGGCAGCCTTGCCACACCCAATTCCAGTTCCTGTGCCCACATCCTGACAGCCTCCGACTGCTGCACTGCACCAGGAAGGGGCCCGGGCCCCACGTTCTAGGCCTCCCAGGTCCCAACCCAGCTGCCAGGTCCCGACCCTCAGGCTAAAGAGAAGCCCAGCCGAGTGCGGCTCAGCCAGGGGCACAGCCCGGAGGGTCACAGTCAGAGACCGCCATGTTCACCTGAAGTAGTAGTTGGTGTCCAGGGCTCAGTGGTGCCAGGCGCCATATAGCTGCAGTGCCCTCTCTAGGGGGGTACCCACAAGGAGCAGGAAGGGCCGGTTCATGCTATGAGCGGCGGCATGGTTACCTCGGCGGCCGGAACTGATCCCTGTTAGGGTGAAGGCTCTCTAGATCAGTGGTCCAGGGCTGATTTGTGGGGTTGGGGGTACACACACACACACACATGAGCACATGCAGGCACACACAGATCACAGCCGGGGATGGGCTGGGCCAGGTTGGGACTCACCGTTGATGTCCACTTGGAGGACATCATCTGTGCTGTCACAGGAGCAGTGGGTGCTGAGGCGGAAGCCCTCTGTTTCCTCTGTGGGAGTGGGGAGAGGGAAGGCAGTCTGAGTGGGAGGCCCAGCCAGACCCTGGAGGAAGGGGAAGGAAGGAGCAAACTCCAGGGGGCTCCTCCTGCCTGGACAGCCCTCCCCTGCCCCTCCACCACCCCCACCATGGTGCTCAGCTCTTTGCTTTGCCAGCAGCGTCCCCTTCAGGTCTCAGCTCACATCACCTCCTCAGTGAGCCCTGCAGGATGCACACCCTCCCAGACCATGACATCACCTTGTTCCCCATAGCATGTGACCTCTGGTGTTTGGCTATTTATTTCCTCACTGTTCTCAGTAGATGCAGGGTGCACCCAGAGAGAGAGAGCCTCAGTTTTTTTTGTTTTCAGCTGGGCCTGACCCACAACCTTTTAACAAAGATCTCAGAGCTGGCATTGTTGGGCAACAGTTTAAGCCACCAACTGAGACGCTGGCATTCCATAGCAGCAGTTAGAGTTCTGGCTGATTGACTTTGTATCCAAAAACCAAACAAACAAAAAAAACTATTTATTCAACTGAAAAACAGTTACAAGAAAAAAAAGTTGGGGGCCGGCGCCGTGGCGTAGTGGGTGAAACCGCGGCAAGCAGTGCTGGCATCCCATATGTGTGCCGGTTCGAGTCCCGGCTGCTCCACTTCCAATCCCGCTCTCTGCTGTGGCCTGGGAAAGCAGGAGAAGATGGCCCAAGTCCTTGGGCCCCTGCATCCACGTGGGAGACCCGGAAAAAACTCCTGGCTCCTGACTTCGGATCAGTGCAGCTCCGGCCATTGCAGCCAATTGGGGAGGGAACCAGCGGATTTAAGATGGAAGTCTCTCTCTCTCTCTCTCTCTCTCTCTCTCTGTAACACAGACTTTCAAATAAATAAATAAATGTTAAAAAAACAAAAAAAGTTGGAGAGAGAGATCTTCCATCTGCTGGTTCACTACCAAAATGGCGGCAATGGACAGCATTAGGCCCGGCCAAATCCAGGAGCTTCATAGTGCTCTGCCATGTGGGTGCAGTTCTGCTCCTTTCCCTGGCAAATATTTGGGAGCTGGATCAGAAGTGGAGCGACCGGAAATTGAACAGGCACCCATGTGGGATGCTGACGTCCCAGTGGGCAGCTTTGAAGCTGGACCATAAGATAGTCCACTGGCTGCTTGACCTCAGAGAGCTGCCTGGGAAAACAGCAGAAATGGCCCAAGTGCTCTGGGCCCTGGCACCACCGTGGAGACCCTGATAGTTCCAGGCTCCTGGCTTCATCCTGGCACGTCCCAGCCAGTGAACAGGTCAGTGGAAGATCTCTATTTCTCTAACTCTGCCTTTCAATAAATAAAGAAATCCTCTTTTAAATAAATAAATCTTTTTTTTTTATTTTTTGACAGGCAGAGTGGACAGTGAGAGAGAGAGACAGAGAGAAAGGTCTTCCTTTGCCGTTGGTTCACCCTCCAATGGCCGCCGTGGCCAGAGTGCTGCGGCCAGCGCACCGGGCTGATCTGATGGCAGGAGCCAGGTACTTATCCTGGTCTCCCATGGGGTGCAGGGCCCAAGGACTTGGGCCATCCTCCACGGCACTCCCTGTCCACCGCAGAGAGCTAGTCTGGAAGAGGGGCAACCGGGACTAGAACCCAGTTGCCGATGCTGCAAGGCAGATGATCAGCCTAGTGAGCTGCGGCGCCGGACTTAAATAAATAAATCTTTAAGCACAGAAACAAACATCTGGAGGAAACACTGAGGGATGGACCAGCAGTAGCCAATCAGCTCACAGGTACTGGATGCTCTGAGCTAACCCCTCCCTGTGTGCTGTCCCAGTAATCCCTCCCACTGTCCATCTGACAGGCCTAGCAGCTGACATGCAGAAAGGACGTGACCTGCCCTTGGTCACACAGGGGGCCAAGGCTGGGAGCCAAAGCTCAGCCTGGGGCTTTCCCGAGGGCAGATGTGGGATAAAGGCGGCTGGAATGAGTGAGTGATGGTTTCTAAGCTCCTCCTGCCTGTGGGCCCTGGGCTGTGTGCTTGGACAGACAGCGACCTAGACATGGGAGATCCCATCAGGAACAGTGTCTGGCCCAGGGCGCCCTCGCTGCACCTGGTCTAAGGAATTCTCCTGTGAGTCTCCATACAATCGCCCTCCTCCAGGGAGCCCTCCTGGCCCCCAGATGAGTTTGGGTGCCTGCTCTGGGCCCACACAGCAATGGGGGCTTCCCCACCCTCACCCCAACCCCTCTGCCTTTGCCTCCCCATTCATAGCCTTGGTCCTTCCAGGTCACTGCTGCCCTCCGGGGCTTTGGCAGGAACTGCTACGTGCAGAGGGAAGTGGACCCCAGGAGGGCAGGACCCAGGGCTATCCTGCCCGCACTGTGTCCCCCACGCCTCCCACACAGGGCGGGGCCCAGGACAGGAGCCTGAGGGGAGTCCTGGGATGCGTGCATGACTAGGAGGGACCCCTGGGCACTGTGGACTCAGCGAGGGAGAGGAGTGGCCCAGTCCTTTCCTGGGCAGATGCACTGTGCCCGACTCTGCCTGCTCTCAGGGCCTTTGCACAGGCTGCTCCCTGCCCAGAACACGCGGCCCCTCACTGCTTCCTTCCGGATTTTACTCAGCCCTCCAACATCAGCTCAGAAACGTCTTCCTCCAGGAAGCCCTCTCCGAACCTAGGCTGGGCCAGGCACTCCCTTTGGGCTCCTCATCCCAGCATGGCCACTCTGGGTCATCACTGCACAGCTAACCACCCCCACCCACCCAAATGATGATGAGCTCAGTGCAGGCAAGGACCGGGCTGTCCTGGTCAGCCCCAGTCCCTTCTCCTCTTCCCAGGAGTGGGGCCCCGGAGCCTGGAGGGAGGAAACGCCAGCCGGGCCCCACATAGGCTGGGAGTCCTCTGGTCTGGCAGGGTGGGGGGCTTCTGGGAAGCAAGGCCAGTGCAAGCTGGGTGGGCTCCCTGAGGGAGGCAGAGGCGTGCAGGGTAGAGTGCTGTCATCAGACTGCTGGGGAAGGGTCTGGATGATAACGCCGACGACCACTCAGACGCTTACTCTGCAGGCTGCGGGAGACGCTGGGATGGTCACTGGGCCGGATTCAGGCTTCATGTGTGTTGTCACACCTGGGAGGCGGGCAGCATTGCTCCCTTTTACAGATGAAGAGATTGGGGTTCAGGGAGCTGAAGCCATTGTCCAGGGCCCACACAGCAAGGGCCTTGAGGAACCCAGGGCTGTGCGGATCCAGACTGACCCAGGACACTTGAGAATCAGCACATCACCCCCCCACACACACACACACACCCTCTCTCAGCCTCCTTGCCTGGATGCCCCCAGCCCACCTCCTGCCTCTGCTTCCTGCCCTCCTTGTGCCTCAAGGAACACAGGCCTGGGTTACCTCTGCTGGCCTAGGACATGTTGTTCCCTGTCCCCAAGGAAGCCCCT